AGCCAGCAGTTATTTCCCACAGGGTCATACATGACTTATCACCTTGATGGGCTGTCATCACAGAATGTTGGTTGAGTGAGTGAGAATAGAATCCCTCTTCAGATATGCCCTACACACCAGAGTTGGGCTCCATCAAACCGGTAGATGTGACCACCTCTATCAATCTGCACCCATAAAGTTTTTGGATGTCCCTTTATACAAAATTTTTCCCATATTTTTTATACTGATTGCATGTCCATGTAGACCAGATTTTAACAGTCTCCAGTACTGGTGTTGGCTTCTTCAGTCTGGGCAGTTCTGGCTACATATATTGATTTAGTTTCATGTTGGAAATTTGTTAAAGTCAACTACAAGGTCACAACAAATTTTAGTCTCTTCAAACGATGGATGAGAGTGCCATGTCTTGATGACAGTTGAGTATAGTAAGGAGAAACAAGCCCATCAATACTGTAGCTACCAGGCTTCAGGAGGCGGCTGGAAAGAGTAGAAATCCGGTGTGACAAACTGTGCTCTCTAGCGGACCAACTCCCCCGGCATGTTATCTCTCTATTTGGACGATTTCTACTCTTTCCAGCCGCCTCCCGAAGCCTGGTAGAGGCTTTCAATACTGTACAATGTACAATTCATATGTGACCGTTTTGTTCTTTTTGACTGCAAAAATCCATGCCAAGAAACTACACATTCCATTGGCCTGGCCCAGTGCTAGAGGGCAACATGGAGCAGCTAACTTGATAATCATTCCACATCAGTGGCTGTTTTCATAAGATACCTGATCTGGGAGGATGGGCATTTACCATCACTCAGGGGGCACACCTTTTGATACAACCTTTTAAACATTTCCCAGGGTGCCAGAGTGTTGCCAGGGCCAACTAGGCTGCCTCAGGACCTACATGTACAGGCTGCCAAGGAAATTCTACCTCACTCCTGAGGAAATGGCATTGCAACATTTGCAACCAGAAAAGGCACTCAGATGGTACAAACTTCCATCCCTCCAGAATTGACATGATCAGATCAAGGGCTTTTTTTAGACTCAGGGACATGACCATGTGGCAAGGTGACAATGGCCTGTTTTGTTATACCGTATCATCCATACAAAATGCAGCAAGTCACAAGAACTAAACACACAAAATTTGTCCACGTCCTTTGGCCGAAGCCAACATCTCAAAAAATACTGTGATCTATGCAGCTTCCAAAACCCAACCACCTTGCACACTCTGCATCCTGTCAGAAATGGTGATAAAAAGATGCCATGAATTTAGATGCAGCTCCTGGCCATGTTGTAAAATTCCAGCATCTCCTGCTGCAGATTGATTCAGAGTTTACGCACTTCTCCATAAAAACCATGTGCAGTAATTTGAATGCTTGGAGAACATCGTTATACACAGAGTTTATCACACAGGACACACCCAAGCACGGGTCAGTAACAACTCTGCTAGTCATCTCTGTGATGTGTGTGACAGTTTCATTGTTTGCTTTGATGTGAGAAGACTAACTACACAAGCGAAATGCACCATACATAAAATGTAGTACATGTACATGTATGTAGTACTATCGGTAGTTGTAACACGACTGAACCTTCAGTCCTTAATGATAAGTTACAAGACTTCATGTAACTGGACTGAGTTAGTAAGCTTGGTGAAATTAATCACGCATTAGGATAAAATACTGTAATTCACTTTATGTTCACGGTAGCAAAATTTCACGGTCTGAGAAAAATGGACATGTTTACTGAACTATATGTTCACGGTGGAGACAGGTGCAGAAAAAAGAAAGTCCAGGAATTATTTGTTAACTGTAATGATAAGTTCACTGTACAGAACCAACAGTGAAAACAGTGAACTTATCAGTAGAGTGAACAAATCAGGAATTACAGTAATACTTTCCATTTTTGATGGACATATGATACATGTATTATACAAATGTAATTAATGACAGATAAATTATATTGATAAAGACCAAAACATCAAAATATAACAAAGGTGTACATGTACGGGTAATCCAAACATCACAATGTGTAAATTACACTGTAATGGACAGCCTCCTGATGAATCAAGTGGTTAAGTGATTTTTAGTGACCTGACAGAAGGCTGAGCTTTCACAGCTCCCCTTTGTTGTTATGTGGTTTGTATATCTTCAAGTTGGACAGCATAATGACATGTTTATCTAACACCAACACCCTGCTAACAATGGACCTATAATCTGTATCAGTTACAGCAGAAGTCAACAAGGGGAAGGTTACATCACTGATAGCTACTTATTTTGGCAGCCTTCCTCAATCTCAGATGTTGGGAGGTAGAATTGTAGTGCTTTCCTAGCTGCTCATTTGCTTTCACAAACTCCTCAATGCAGTTTGACTGAGGAGCTTGTTAGATGCCAACTTTATGCAGATGTCAATGAGGTGGTTGGTTTAACAGAAACGGACAGTTTTTGCCTCCCAGCATCTGCTTGGAGATTAAGCTTTCCTATATGCTAAACCCTTCAGGGAGAGAATGGGGATGAATTCTTCATTTCTACAAGATTATCAATCTGGAACTCCTGGCAATACAAGTCATAAGAAGGGATTACTTCTATGCGTGTGTATCTTTTATTTCCAAGGAGTCAACATGAGGAACTGCCCTTCAGCATAGAATAACTGGATTTGGAACTGGCATTACAGGGCAGCTTTTATCAAAGGATTTGTCACACGTAAACCCCACATGTCAAGCTACACACTATCTAAGGCCCCTTTTGCATTTGATGATATCCAGCTCCTCTCTATAATCTTTCCAGGGAAGAGCTCTCACTCACTATCTCTGGTTTAATGCCTGCTGCTCTCAAAAGACTCTCATTCTCACAGGAGTTAGGTATGCTTGTATGCAGGTGTCTTCTCACATGCCCAGCCAATACCTTTTTTCTGGAGGATGCTAGAAGAAATCAGCCAGCTGGGGTCTTGCCAATTTTTCCATGTCTCCTTCAGAGTCAAGACTTTTCTTGGAAGACAGGAAGTTTGATAGCAACTTCCCAGTAATTGGTTACCACATGTACAACATGCCTAAGGCAGACAGATTGTACTGATAACCTTTGGGGTGAAAAGTATTTTTGAAAGAAAATACTGGAGTAGTTTTTGGAAACATCACTGGGCTTGAAATACTGGGTGCATTTATAAGTAATTTGTGCACAGATAATTTGAACAGTGCGGCTAATTTCAGACTCAAGCTCCGAAAGAGTCAGTCATGTTTGTTGACATTCTACTTAATTTTATGTTTGGTTCGATTTTTCTTCTTTTTCATGCGCCTAAATTTTGAGGTTAGGTGCACTAGTACAGTATACTTACAATTCCCGAAAACAAATTTTGAGCCCTGCAACAGTTTCATTTTTTCAAACACAGCAGGCCCCTTCAATATTGACATGCTGACGTTGGGAGGGATCACGATTCACACAGGGCCTGACCACTTAACCAAGTGGACATTATCCAATTACACAAGAAAAGCTCCTAGTCAAAACAGAAGTTAAGTAATTGTTACCCAGTATTTGCAAACCATGTTTAAGTCATTCCAGTCACAATACTGTGGGTGACCTCATCACACTTGTTGGAAAGGAAAAGAAATGCAACACAGGTTTGGCATGGCACAGGATGGTACACAGTGACAGTGTATGTACACCAAACAGCTGATACTGGGCATTAGATGAAACTGACCTACAGGTCACAGGCCTATCTACAGGTCACGGGACAACCTGGTATACTGCACATGGCACATAATAGCTGACTGCTGTATTGTTCAGTGTACCAGGTTGCACGATGATGACATGACACAGTAGACCTATGTTGGCAGTGTTGCATTCCTTTTGTTCCTTTCCAAATAATGTGATTTGGGACCCACCACAAAAGATGCGGGTATGGCGGGCAGGTGTTTAAAGTGTTCATGCAATACCGGTAAGTTTTTCCCATCCATTTCGGTCACCTTCTATCAAAACAAGCTAATATATACAGTTATATACAGTATTTGCCTGACCAAAAGCAGCACATATTCCAAACAGTCATTCCTGATGACTAAATTTGATTTTTGGCAATCATTTCTTTTGGTGTTTTCTAATTTTTTTGCAGACATATTAAATACTCCTCCTCCATAAAAATCTTTCAAGCCAACCAGGTACTAGGCTGAGGTAGACGACCTGTGGTATCCCATTAGTTATTTTTGCCAATCATTGATGCACCCCCCTTTTAAATCACTGTCAATTACAACAACATGTACATGTGCAGGGCTATACATTTACATGTTTATATTGTTTTTACCTAGCACTCAGTGACTGTTAAGTACACTGGTGTTTCTCTAACACTAGAGTGCTTAACACTTAGAGAATGTTTTCTTTGTTTCTGGATAATATATCTACATGATACACATGTATACTAGTGTTTCCCCACACCAAACTTCTTGCCTACAAGAACTACATCCCTTGGGGGAATTCTTGCCAAACCATAAAGTACCTCTTCACACGTAACTGACACTGTCGATGACCTTTTTCTCACCTAAGCTGCACAGGTGTGGCTCCTCCCATGACGTTTAACCGGCCCACTCCCTCTCACCAACTCATTCATTACCTCACATATGGAACTCCCGCTGGGACGATCGTATGGCGCACAGGCTGCCAAAAATGTTCATTTTTCACAGCTTGGAACTGTCGGGGTGATTAGGTCTAAAGATTCGGGGTTAGGAAGAAGTCTAGGGTGAGTTCTACTTCCTGGAAGACGCACGATCTTGGTCATATTTACGTACAGGTGTAACTCAAGGGGGATCTTCACTGTTTAGGGCAAGACAAGCGGGACATAATTTCCGTCTCAGAGTCATTATTAAAAGGTACGTGGCACGGGGCTGAGGATATCAAATGATGTGTAAACCCATTGTAGTCTAAACCAACCGTGGTTTGGCTAAAGTATAACCAAACATGCTCGCGCGTGTGTGACCGATTATTTGGCAGGATCTAGCAAACACGTAGCGATACAGACACGAACTCGGACTCACCTCTTTGATTTTGTCTCGTCTCATCTTGGTGTCGTGGTCTGTGGGCTCGCCACCGCTCACTCCCACTGCCCCGGTGTCGACCCTGTTGACTTCCAGAAGCTCCTTATTTTGCTCTTCCTGTTTCCTCTTCTCCTCCTCCTCTCTCTGTTGTTGGAGCTTCGCTTTATCCTGCTTGATGTCGTTTTTGACATCGTCGTCCTGAAACTTGTTCAGGACTTGCCTGGCCTCCTGGAGGACCTTCTCCTGCTCGATTTCAAGTTCCTGCTTGCCCCGGGATTTACCAGGGTCCACCACGTCCCTGGCGACGTTCTCGACGGGGTCGAAATCGTGCTGGTGGAACTTGAGTCCCCCCACTGGAGGCGAAGCCGGCGGCTGAGGCCGGAAAATGTCCCCGGGCTCGCCTGGCCCTACCACCTTCTCTCGGAACTCGGGAAGGAAAAACATGGCCCCCACGAGGACGAACAGAAAGGCAGCGACTATGAGCAGCACCATGAACTTCTCGCTCATGCGGAGAGTCTGTCTCTGCGGCACGGGAACGCCGTTCACGTAGCGCCGATGCGTCGGGAGCAGCGGAGCCGCCGCCATCTTGCTTCCACCTGGTACCCACAATTCCCCGCGAGAAGTCACGAGTAGTAGAGCACGACCACTGCGAACGATTTCCGCAAGGCGTTCAGTACAGGTTCCTCGGGAATGATATTATGCATGTGACATGTTTGACAGAAATGCCTACGAAGAAACGTTGCCTTGGCCACTTACATCATATGTCTGTAACCTTTTGGGTAGCAATGCAAGATAGCAACGCCTGCCATCATCATTGCTCTTTCCTCAAGAAGCAAATCATGAACTTATGCTACATATGTAAATGATCATAAAGGGCTGCATTTGTTAAACAGCTTCAAGATATTGTTATCATGGCTACTCTACCAAAGCTGACTCTCCACATGCATCTCAGTTTCTCTGATAGCTTCCTCAGAGGACAAAATTTTGCAGTAAAACTACCACTAGGTACTAGCGCCTCAATGTGGCCAGGACTGGTACTGCAGTCGGTTTGGTGGTGTATATCGTGAAGACTCCATGTATTACATTGCTTGTAAATTCTACAAGAGACCCTGACTTAAGTACAGTACACAAAAAATACAGAAGATGGAATAAATGAAATATATCAATCATTTATTGAGCACCTCATTGAATTAGAGATACATTGTACAAGTACAAGTATGATTGATTCTTACACTGTCAGTACTGTCTGCAAAGTAACTTATTGATACAGTGTACTTGTATTTGTACTTGTATGTTGACACCACATTCCAGTATTAAAGTCATCTTTAGAAAAGACGGTGCATCTTACATTTCTGCTACATGCATTAGCTTCCGGTTAAAATGAAATGATTTGTGACTCTTTGCACATGTACATGTATATTGCTGCCACCTGTTTTCAACAATCTTTTAAACACATTCCATGTACATCTCACTTCTCCATTCTGTTTCTTCTTGTCCTCTTCTTGTAGAAACTACTAGCGAAAAAAATTAATATGCTTTGCCTTTGACTTGTTCCTTGATTTTCCAGTCAGCAAATAATCATCTGAATACTCTTGTTATAGAAAGTATAAAAGTTTCTGAAATTCATGGCTTGACATGTCTGGCTCCAGAAGAGCAGTTCACATTGCAGCTTGCCCTGAGTTCCTATGGCAGCGGGTGCAGATCAGACCCTGTACTGGCAGCAGGTTTAGATCAGACCCTGTACTGGCAGCAGGTTTAGATCAGACCCTGTACTGGCAGCAGGTTTAGATCAGACCCTGTACTGGGAGCAGGCTCTATACTCTGTCCTGATGGGGGGAGGAGGCAGCTCAGAATCTAAGGAAGATGAAGAAACCATTAGTATACATAGTAATAGAATGTTAGAAGTATTGACATTGTTACAATTCTTTCTTTGGGGACACCATATTTTCTCCACTTTTGGCACATTTTGCATTGAAATGTTTTCTTGGGTGGGTGTGACAGAAATAATATACAACATGGTTTACTGTATTCTTTATACATGTATGTCAAAGGCACTAATAACAGTTGACTGACACAGGTATATACAGCACGTCAGCAGAACGTACTGCATCTGTGTGAAACCCGTAATGTATTGTGCACAGAACTTTGGCAGAACGTCTCATATAAGATCATATTTGCGTATATAAGGTTAACACCTCATCTGTAGTTTCCACATGTTATAACGGAAAAGATATCCTCTGCAAAAGGCAAAATACTGATGCAACGGTGACAAAACATACAACGAAAATCGTGAAAAATCAGGGTTTTACACAAGCGCAGTTACGCTCTGACAACATACTTATACAGGTAACCATGGTTACCTCTTGATCGTGCCTGCTTGTCGTGCCTCAGTAGAAGGTCATCCACCTGCTGCTGCTTGATGATTTCTGCCAGGTACTGCAGAAGACAAGTGTACAACATGTCACACACAGTACAGGGCACTTCAGCACCAAATGTACAGAACAGTTATAGCCTGATTACCAAACCTATTTTAGCTCCCGAGTCCTACATAGTCTCTGCATGCAAATGGCTGGAAAAAGGACAACAGTTGACAATCTACATATCCATAAGGTGTCAATCACAAAATTTACATATACCTTCCTATAGTACCGATTTTACAATGCTATCATGTTGTCACTCTACAACAATTACAACATGTATGAGCAATAGCCTGAAATAAATAAATTACCCACCTCAACCACCTTGGCATCCCCATCTTGCACACCCAACTTTCCCAAGAAGCCTGCAGCAGTCTATATGTGTACAAACAGGAATTGTTAGTGCATGACATTTTTAAAAAGTGAATGACAGTTGTATACAATTGTAAATCTACAGAACTTCACAATTATTTTTTGCTAAACCCAACTAAACATTCAATATTGAACAAGAAGGGTCACCAATCTGTGGAAGAATTTGTGCCTACCTTCTTCTGTAGTTTCTCTCCATCATGGCTAAAAGTAAGGAAAAAACAGTTCAAAATTGTTCTCATAAAACCTCGAAAAAAACTGCAAAAGAATATCATAAAATCTATACTTCATGCTTCTCCTTTTCATTCATTGCACACTCAGGTTTATCCCAAAAATAAAAATGTTTAAAAACTGGACTGACCTTTGCATATTTTCCACATTGGGTGAGTTAAGGCAGTAGGAGTGGTAGTACAGGAAGGCCTTAGATGCCAGCTCTAGCAGTGTGCTGGGGGAGCACATTAAAAACAAGTATATGATTGTGAAATCCAAGAAGTGATAAGTCTTTCTGAAGGAGCATCACAAATACTGTAATGGCTGTGGTCCTTACGTGACCAGATGATACTAGGTACTAACTAATAAAACATTTTACAAAGTGACACTGTTACAACTCCAGTATCACTCTTGTTACAACTTACAGTCACAGTTGTAGCTGGGATCTGTAAAATATCTTTTTTAGGGCTTCTCTGTAATAAAAGGTTTTTCGTTTGGTTCAACATACCTGTGTATGTATCCTATATATGGCTCATCCACCTGATTGGGAAAAAAGTAATCAACAACAAGTTAGTACATGTACATGTGCCTCCTCACAAAGGAAAACTTCAATAGGCAATTACAGGCATGATTGCTTCTTTCCCCAATCAACAGAAGAATTCAAATTCAAAGAAAATGCATGTTTTGGCTGATTTGAAAAGCCATACTAGTATGTACATACCTTGAAGTCCTTTTTCCTGCTCACTATGGCATTGATGTATGTTCCCTGAAACATAAAACAAACACAACTTTCTGTAAGAAGATTCTTAACACTTATGCTGTATCTTTTGCAAGGTCAACTCACTCACAGACATACATTTAGAACTAAGGAACATTTGAAAAATGCAAAGAAACTTCCAGTGAGGCACAGACCAAAGACTAACCTGGTACTGAGGAGTGGTCAGTGTTTTCTTGTCACAGTCAAACACAGACACGTATCTCTGTGGAAAAAGATGGAAAAATGAAAACAATACTCCCTCCTTGGTGCTGAACTGCCATCCATGTGATATATACTATATACAAAAATGTACTAAGTATAAGGTTGGTAACACAGTATGAAGGTACTATCGTTATGAAATTCAGTTCAGGATGTACCCTGTAATTTAATATCATGTTTCTATGTCCATAACAGTGGCCCAAAGCAACCATAATTGAAAGTTTAGTTTGGCATTTACAAAGACTTACCTAGTATGTATCAATTTTTCTGCAGTATAGTCTATTCACAAAGCGTCATAAATTGAAGAATATCACAAAAACATTGATGTTGACCTTGACAGAGCTGGGTATCATGCGGTCCGCAGGTTTGACCTTGGCCAGTCCGATGAGTTTTGTGTTGCAGATGTCGGTAAGACAGAGGGGGGCAGTGTGCCAGGGGGTCACCGTGTGGTACCGACTGGGAAGTGGGCAGGGAACATAGAATTAGTACTTAGCACGCATCTTGCTGGTGTTGAAAAAGCCCTCCAAGTAGGCAATGTGCACCAATATATACCTAATTAAAAATATACATATAATATCTCATGGTCAACACTCTATACAGGTACATGTTGTACATTGTAGGTTATTATGGATAAAAATCAGCCAACACATAGTAAAGCAAGATTCTCTCTTAAGACTTTATTGCAGCTGTGGAAGACTAAGATACTTACTTGGAGAAGCCCGGAACAAACAAGCTAAGAGTGGTGACCAGGCCTCGCACTTCCCTAGTAAATAAGTACAAAAATTAAAGTAAAATAATTGAATACAATCACAGTAACCAAATTTACACCACATTTGATACATCTACCAGGAAAAGGCCTCAGACTTCTCCTTCATACTGTATTGCCATCATGTCCTTGTCAGCACTTTTGATCCTCCAGTGTAATCATCGGCCTTAGGCTAGTAAACTGTAGTTGGGCAATATTGCCACAGACCATGTTACCTACTTATGCTGAGGTCACATTTCCAAACCAGGGACCGAAATGTATAGTATGATATACAAGACAAGAAAACACAAAACATTTTTAGGAACTAAGAATAAGTACTACATGTATTTGCGTTATATTCTTCATATGAATGGTTAATTTTTCGTTGATGCAAACACCCCGAGTGGGCTCCAGTTTGGAAATGTGACCTCGGCATTATTGGTTGATTGATTAATTGAAGAAAGGGGAACGCGAGTACCTCTCCTGTCTCGGCAGCCCAAGGACCACCAGTGGCCTGCCAGTCAGCAGTGCATAGATGACGTGAGCAGCAAACACGTACTGCTTCATGAACCTCACAACTCCGTAACCTGACAAACAAAGTCAGAAGTAAGGAAAGATACTTTCACCCACTGTTTCTTTCTTTCTTTCCTTCTTTCTTTTTTCTTTATTTCATAGCCAGGTTACCAAGGCTATTATTTCAGGCATCCATGGCCCATATAGATAAAAGAAAACATACAAATAGAAATACACATAATAACAACAGTTAAAAATATGACTGTGAGTACAGACAGACATGGATATTGTGGAAGATTGCAGAAGATTGCATCAGATTTGAGGACAGATTGGATGATGTTATTTGTGGTGCTGTGCTGACAAGATATGAAAGAATAGCATTGAAGTTGTGGGACTGACATTCAACACTCAAGTGACAAAAGTGTGGCAATACCTGGAAGCTGCGGCCCAAAGTTACAGATGTGGTCTCCATAACTGCACACACTCATTCTGATGTGTCTGTGGACAAAGAAAAAGCATTATGAACTGTATACATGTCTTGTTAAATTTATATAGAAGTAAAAACCTGTCAGTTCTACATCTAAAGTAAACTCAGTTTCCACTATCTTTTCCTGTATCATTTTTGTTTTGTTCATTTTTCCCCTCCAGTAAGTTGTTGATCCCTTACAGGCCTTACCTGGACTCCACAGTTCCAGCCTCTCCTGATGAAGGCCAGCTGCCCCCTGCACTGTCTGAGCCTGTACTGCCCATACTGGTCACACCTACTGCTGCAAGCAGGGGAAATTGAAACAAATTGGAGCGACTTGAAACATAAAAACCCCTGACTCCCAGGAATCAAACCTTTGCCGAACCTGGGCAGCCATCTTACAGCACCAGTGCGCTAATGACTACTCCAAAAGGTCTGGACCCATTGTAAGGTCAGTTAGCGGCACTTGAACCCCACTGTTACAAAGTTACTGAATGTAATTGAACATGAATTTGGTACTGGGAAGACAGAATTCATATATTTTAAGTAAAACTATAATAGCAACCTTTAACCAGACAAGTTATTTGTACTTAGTATTTCATTGTGTTCTATACTTGTTTGCAATTGCAGTGGATGCTAAAAAACTACATGTGTTAATACATATACATTCATTCATAGTATTTATCCTACCTCCATTTTTTCTACACCTGGGTTCTGGTGGGGTCTCTGACCTGTTGTCGGTGGGTGAATCTAGGATGAAAAGGACACAGCAATGTTAGTGGACATCCCATGTGTAGTGCCTGACTGGGGAAAGTCACTGCCTTGTTGGTATTAGGTTTTACTTTAGCAGATTTATTGTTATTGCAATACACACTAATAGTCCTACATCATAATCTTAGAAATTCCTGAATTTCTACCTTTTCTGAAAATTTCATTAAAACACGTCAGCAAATTTCAAGGACTGTAAAAATTGTACATGAGCCCACCTGGTACAGAGTAGCAGTCACTGTTGATGCTACTGGCCACACTGCCGACCAATGACCCTGGGTCAAGGTTCAGGTCATAGGGCAAAGGTAAGCCCTGCTGAACATCACTCCTCACACTGCTGATGGAGCTACGGGGGGTGTTCTGGGCTGGAAGTGGGAAAAATAAAACTCACAAGATTGTCAACAGCACTTGATGACTTTGAATTACACAGTTTGTTAGATCATTATTTACATGTAGATAACAATAGGCTCCAGTAGGGTGCCTACTGGGGTATCTTTCACTTTGCAAACAAGTTACAAACAGGATAGACTAAAATCAGGATAGACTAAATGTGTGAAGGTCAGCAGTACAGTACAGAATACCATAAAGTTTAACCTGGAGTGTTAAACTCTTCCACCACAGAAGACTTTGCTGATGCGTATTCTGAGTTTCCACTCGGCTCAAAACGATCCACTGACAACATGGCTTCTTCCTTCTCTTGGCTACTGAGGTTTGAAACATTATTGCACATTTCTTCTTCTTCCCTTGGACAGTTCCTTCTATCCTTTTCCATTTGTTTGTCTTCACTTTGTTGCTCTGAGGCTCCTACAGGATCATCAGATATAGCTTCTTCTTTTTCTGTACAAATGTTTCTCTCTAGATCTGAAGGAGTTTCCACCTGTTTCTCTTGACTTTGGTTCTCTGTGGCTTCTTTAAGACAAGCAGTTCTACTTTCTTCTTCAGGTGTTTGTTCGATTATACATACTTCTTGTTCTGAGGAAGGAGTTTCTGTTCTCTTATTGTCTTCCTCAACCATAGAAGGAGACTCCCCATGAAGTGTATCTACACTGTCGTTTCCTTCACTCTTACTTCTCCTTCTTAAAATCCTTAACTCCTTGGGAAACGCTTCCTCGTTGTCTTCAAGGATAACAATACTGTTGTTGGAGAGTAAGTCCTCAGAGAAAGAAGACGAGTCTTTAAGAGAGTGGTATGTGTCTTGAGTGTCCCTTCTCCCTATTGCAGTGCTGAGGAGCCCATGGAATGGGGAGGACTCCTCAATGTTGACCACGGTGGCAGGTCGCAGTGTCAGGGTGGTTTCTTCTAAGAAATGCATCGTGCCGCTCGTCTCAGAGCTGCTCAAAATCTCCAAACTGTCAGAGTCATAGTTGAGATCATCGTCTTCCTCGTAATCATAGTACACAGAACTGGGGGAGACACGTATACATAGTGATGGTTAGTCACTTTCAATGTTACTTCACTTAATAATATTCTTTCATTTCACAATTTTAAAATGTCTAACAGCCTAATAACAGTAATCATTAGATATCCAAATGCAGCACATTGGCAGAACCTACTGCGCCTGCATGAAACCCCAATTTTTTATGGTTTTCGTTGGATTTTTGGTCAACGTTGCATCAGAATTTTGCCTGTTGGAACATTAGGAAACTACAGACGGGATATTGACAGAATACAATGGTTTATGAGAAGTTCTGCCAAAGTGCTATGCACAATACATTACAGGTTTCGCATAGGTGCAGTATGTTCTGCCGATGTGCTTCCAAAAGCACACACAGAACTTACTCTATGGACTTGTAAGAAGAAGCAGGTAGGAAGGTGGGGTCCAGACTGTGCGTGGCACCGCGGGACTCCAGACCGGACTGGAAGGAGTCAGTCGTGTAGAGGCTGGACAAACTCTCACTCTGGGAGAAACAAGGGGACAACTTGTGCTCAATAAAACTCATGATATGATATACTAGTACATGTAATTCATTTTTGGGCTTTTAAAACCCTAATTTATAAGGGATTGAGAAACCCTACAATGAATTAGGCTGGCACAACTACTGACAGCATTTACATTTTTCCATGCCTGACTTCACACAAAAAATCATTTACATGTCTGAAGTTCTATTACTATAGTTTTCATAAGCACCTACCGACATCCATCGCCTGAACAGGTTCCTTGCGGGATGCTGTAGCTCTGTTCTGCCGGTCTGTCCCAGCGGCCAGCACCCTCCTGCACACTGCCTGCACAAACAAGTCAACAAACATGCTTCAAACCATGAGTTGGACTTCTGCACACACCACTGGATGCCATTTTACTGTATCAATGTAGTGGCTGCTGACAGTTATCAAAGCACTAGTATCTGTATCTGCATTGGTATAGCCGGTATAACCACCATTCGACGTAACATAGCAGATTCGCAGGCACGCGGCGCGGCAGCAGCTAGCTATATTAATTTATAATGAAGTAGTTGTTTAAAGCTTTCTAGTGATGATGCCCCAGCTGTGCTTGACTTGACTTGATTTTATTGGGATCCACACTTAGCTTACAAAAATTGTATTGTAGCTATTCTTCCTGATGGCAATGAGTTCCACTCTACAATACATCTTGGAAAATAAGAGTTTTTGAACACATCAATTTTTGGTCCTAACTCAAATACAAAGTTGTGAGAATCAGGATGAAATATACTTACAGGTCCACGTTGTGAAGAAAGTTCATGGCAACACATCGGCCGAAGGTGAGCAGCCCTGGAGCAGGGTCTGGAGAGGGACATAACACAGGGGAGGGGTTTAATCTTCTGTCTAACCAACCTCATAACAGGTGGTCAAATGGTCACTTCAATGTGGTGAAGGTTAAGACATGCATGCAATTGGGAAGTGTTTCTACGTTAGACCTTAACACTTTCCACTATCAGGTTCTTAGTTTACATCTAAAGATACATTTGCAGAACCAAATAGATCAGAACACATGTAACATCACTGGCTTCTGCCCATAGCAGGCACATTTGGTTTTACATAGGTTTAATCTACACATACATAAGAATACTGTACATCTGATAACTGAGGTATTCTGACATGACAAACCTATCAGCTTTGACTCCCTCTTCTCCATGGAGACAGCCATGGAGTCTCTGCTGAAGAACTGGGGACAGAAAATTACATGTTTGTTTCTTCCTTTGTCTTTTACAAGAACATGTACAAATCATATTGATCAACAAGCCACATCCTGCATTTTAGATTATTTGAATCATGTATTATTTTCTAAAACAATCTTTATACGAAGAAGCATCTAATGCATTTAGTACACACACGAACACACAAACACATACCTTCTGTATCTGCCTGAGCCTGTTGAGTCCCTCCCTCTCCCCCTGACCACACAGCTGGTCCAGTTTCCTCAGCTCACGGTCAAACTGTTTGCTACTGTCTGGTCTGATTACCTTTGGCTGGAGAGAGAAATGCACATGGTCTTCAAATGTTAGGGGAACCTTTTGGCATTATTGTAACCTTTTTGGCATTATTGTAACTTGTTGTATCTTTATGGTATTTTGTTTCCCTGTTTTACAAGTGGTCAAATTTAGTAAGCATGTGTGTGTGTATGAGTTTGTATGTGTGTGTGTGTTCGTGTGTGTGTTGTGTCTGTGTGTCTGTGACTGTGTGTGTGACTGTGTGTGTATGTGTGTGTGTGTGTGTGTGTGTGTGTGTGTGTGTGTGCGTGCGTGCGTGCGTGTGTTCAAATATTGTGAATAGAAAGAAAACAACCCACCACATAAGGCACTCCATTCTCTGGCATGGCAAGTTTCCCACCATCTTCTTCAGAACAGTGGGAGCCTGTCAGACAAAACAAATCATACTAACTTTAGTCCTGTTTAAATGGGAAACAGTATTGTGAATGTGAAAGGAAATTCTCAAATTGTGCTGAAAAAAAATACACTTGAAATTTCTTTAAACTGAGCAGTGTTAACAGTACCTCACACCCAGTGACCTTACAGTATTCTAGGCTATCTCACCATTACTATTGCAACCATCCTCAGAGTTAGAAGAGGAAGCCTCCTGTCTGCCAGCCTGGGCCTGACACCTGTCCTGTAGTCTCCTGAAGTGCCTTTCTAGTCTCGGGTTGTTCTGTACAGAAATACAGAATCTATTAGTAAGAATTTTAGCATTGAGATTTTTAATGAGGAATTTTAGTGCAGGTTACAATGTATGTACATGTACACAGGTTCTGTTATGGGTCTAGAAAAGACACCATATTAGACTGAAGTGTTCAAAGGCCATTTCACTTAATATACAAATCGACTTATACAGGAAATACAAGTACCAGAGCTGGGCGGACAGTCCTGAGAATGTCCACTGTCTCCTGAGTGACCCTGTCCAGGGTGGTCAGTGAGATGGTGTCCAGCAGTGAAGCCTCCTCCAGGTCAACCGAGGTCAACTTCCCAGAATCCTTCTGCTGCTGCCAATGTTCATACTTTTCTGTAGTCAGAGTAAAACCATGGCTTATAACCACTGATTCTGGAATAAGTCGTCTACTTATCTATCCCTATAATTTTCTTTTGTAAAAGTTGTCCCAGTAGAACTTGAAAACAACGTCAGGTGAATTTTTCTTACATGGAGTACTGCTTTGAATCTTAATGGGTTTGAATCATCGTGCATTTGGATTCTTATGATGTTATCTTAATTATCATTGATATAAAGGACAATTACTAGTATCATTGGTGCCCCCTATCTTACCCCTTGTGTACTGCAGGTCAGCCAGCCTGTGTTCCAGTTCTTGCACAAACATCAGACGATTCCCATACTTGAACACATTCGACACCTGGCCAAAATATTGAATCAAAAAGTACAGGTTAGTGTTAACATATCATTTTCACATCCTTTATCAAGTCATTACAAAAATCTGTTTTCAGTTCTGATATTACATGTACAATGATTAACATTCAACCTACTAAGGTAGCCATAAGGCATAAATTTTGAATGTTTATGGGCTAAGACATAGGGAGAAGGTTAACCTTAGTCATAGCCATAGCCATACTGCTGTCTCACCTTTTTAAACTCTGACATCATTTCCTCCAGATTTGTCATGATTTTGCTGCATGAAGGCAAACAAAAATGGAGAAATTCAAATTCAAGAATGACTACCAGTAATACCATTGACTACACACTGATACAAATGAAACAAATGAATAAGAAAATTTTGCCATAGCATTTTTGGTTCTGTGTTCTAAGAAAGAAAGCCTGAAATTCTTACCTGCGGTCGGTGGTGACATATGACATACAGAAAGGTCGAACAAACCCTCGGGCCTGAAGGTCAAACAAGGTGAAATGATGAACCTGAAAAGAAGTTCAAAATGATAAACATTATCTACATCATACTGAATACATCCACTCCAAATACTTAGTATTACACCCAGAAGGCCTAAACTAAGAATTCCTTGAAAAAAAACAAGGGTATGAGGACACAAGAAGTACATAGTAACCATCTCTACCATACATGTACTTACATAAGCACAGGCTCCCTCCTTGGTGTCCATCATGACCACATGTGTGTCCTCCACCAGACAGAACCCACTGGCACTACACAAACATGGAAATGGTAAATGTAAGGAGATGGGATAGAAATATGTAATATACAAAATATATACACATACATTCCAGTGAAAATATGACATTTAGAAACACAAGAGACTCCCTGATTTTGTATGCTACAAAAAATATTTTTTTCTCTAAAGTCCTAACCTTTTCATCCTGGAAAGCAAAAATTTTTGCTACTGAAAAGGATAAAAACAGTTGCCCAATGTCAGACATTAGTAAAAGCACTACTGTGTCTATAGCTACAGCCAAAGGTATAGACGTCTACACCTGCATTTTTTGGCTGATTGTGACTCTTAATAAAAAAAAAAAGAACACAGTACAGTCTGTGTGCCTCCGTACCTCCCATGTGTCTGGTAGTCAGCTGACATGATCCGTACAGCAAAGTTGTTCTTGTCAAACCTTCCCCCACCATACTCAGGGATAGTTTCCTGCAAAAGGAGAAAAAAATGCACTTTCATTTAAACTTTATCCTTACATGTAACATTTTAGAAGTTTAAACCCCAGCAGGGAACGAAATAAAAAATCATGAGGGGTTATTGCCAAACTTTAAGGCTGTCCATCTAGTAGTACATGAACAAGGCACTCATACACCAATAATTTTCTTGTAGTACACAAAGACTTAGACTAGTACCACTTATAATCATCAAAAACCTAAAAAGAGCCAAGTACTGTAAATGATATTGATTGTACATGTATTTCATTGCAAACTCAATTGAGTTGGAAACTTGATCCAATTTAGGGAAGCGACGATGGTGTCGTGAGATCTTTACACCTATGGAAAACTCAATTTTGGATCACGTGACCTTCCATCCGTGCATAACATGCCGTGAACCAAATACCAAAAGATATAAATATTCCACACAAAAAAATCATTTCATCCAACATTTGCTGAAAATCAAGCAAGATACCTAGAACTATTGCAGAGTGGAACTCGCTGGCACCAAGTACAGTAGGGGCATTATCATTACATAGCTTTAAACAATGTTTAGAGTTAGATGTTCAAGGGTTAGGTGTAACAAATCGTACGGTGTAATAAAGCCAGCTGCTGCCGTGTCGCATGCCTGCAAAGCTGGTGTGTTACACCAAAGGGCAGTTACTAGTATACCTGCTATACAGATACAGAAGATAGAAAAGAGAGTACTGACCAGAGGTTTGGGCCCCTCCTGTTCTGAGAACTCTGCAATCAGAACAAAGTCCTCTGTGACCTTGGCGTCGGCGTGCCACGGGTTCTCTGCTCGGAACGCCAGCTCCGGCGGCAGACGGGACTTGAAGTACCCATCCTCGTAGTAATCCTCGTCTGTGTTGACTCCATATGCCACAATGTCACTAAACCCCACGTGGAACATGGTGGAGATTCTTCTTCTCTACTTCTCTTCAAAACTACAGGTTTGTGTTATGTAGATTTGGGTTCCTCTGGTAAGAATGTTCCATTATTTCTTTGAATGGAGTAGATGTTTTCCTCTCCATCTGAGCTTGTTCACGATGTCCATTCACCCTGGCATATTGTTATGCAATACTGGACAGGAACACAAAAACCTGAAAATGTCAATCAAATTGTTCATTCATTTAGAAATAGGTGAGCACGAAGGTTAAATTGCTAGTCCACCGTGTAATGTTAAAAACATCTAGATGTCACAGAGGAAAACGAAAATACAGACATTCTCCATATGCAAGTGTTGGATTTAAATTCAATTTTTAGTATCAAACAGGAAGTAAGCATAGGGTACCACCCTTGTGCCAGCTGTTACTTTTTTATGAGGTTGTATATAGAATATAGTCAAACTTATTGTGCTGTACAGATTAAGTTCTACATTAAGATGAAGAACAAATTTATATGCCATTTCACATACCCAAGAAGGCCAGGCTCCTTTGCATGTACAGTACTAGTAATTGCACATAACCTCATTAACTCAAAACAGCCCCGCCCCCAACACAATGGTTCAAACAAATTGATTGTTGCTAAAAGCTCCCATATTAAATAAACTGACCTAAGGTTTTCTGACTCTCAGGACTCAGTGCACACGCACGCTTCTAAAACGGAAGCTAAACCGACGGCCTGAGAGACTTACATCTACAAACATAACTTACATTTGGGGACACGTCAAATTAGCAAAACAGAACCGGGCCAGGGTCACAAGTATCATGTGATGTTCTTTCATGTTCCTTCAAAACTCTGGCTTTGTTCTGCCCACGTACTAGCTTGTCGGCCAACAACGAACGATATCAGAAAACTTTCGTTAGCTACAGCTTAACCTCCCTTGTGAAGATACTTTTAAAATGTTGGTTTACGCAGTTATAGGGTCCCAAAATACAAGGAAGTGTGGAAAAGTAAACAAACTTGCCTGTTTGGACGTGGACGTCCATGTTGGGAAATAAGCGCAGAGGATGACGGGTAGACGACGACACTAGATTTTAGGGGTGTCACATAACGTTATTATTCAAAGTAAAGGAAAGTTTTAAAATTAGTTTTGTATTACTGTTTTCAATATTTTTGACAATTACTGTGACTTCAATCATTGAATATACACAAAACTATGCTTCCCTCTCTCAAAATACAGTGTGATTAAATATTTCTCACCCTATACCGATAGTGGTATATTCGATGACCTCACATGATAAGGTCAATGGAATCTGGCGGCAAAATGTCACGAAACGCGCGAAAATCCTGCAAATTTTTGGTGAATTTTGCCCCGAAGAACGTATAAATGTAAACTTTTAGATCACACACAGGCAGGTGAGTGTATAAGTACATTGTAGAGCAATCTTACTCGTGTTATATTTCCTTTGTAGCAAGACGATTTTAGAGGAGGTGTTGACAGAATTTTTGGTGCATCAGTCGTAACAGTAAAGTATCTGGGTTGTATGACACAGAAATTATATTACCATTTATACATGTATGATGTATAGTTACCCTTACTTATTTACAATAGTTAATATCGTAATGTATTAGTTCTCGTGTAGCAATACTCTTTGTGGCAAATAGGGAAAATGAATTTGAAAAGAGTGTAGTAGAGTAGATTAACGGTAGAAGTGCTGTAGAGCTATAGAGGTAGGTAGAGTCACCAGACAGGTAGGAACTGCAGAAATTCCGCTTTGAGCACCACAGCTAAACGTAATGCGGAAGGCATAGTCATTGCTTAAAGTTCCAGTGCCATCCAGTGTTCCAATCATCAAAAATAATAGTATTCGTTCAGAGAAAAATATTGCCTATCTAGCAAGAGCAATGACCATGAATGATTATTGTGGTTACAGCTCCAGTCCAAGATGGAGGATCCTGAGAGGAGTACCCTGAGTAGTCTGGACCTCTACTCTGACATGATCGGAGAGACAGAAGAAATGACTGGAGGAATGGAAGAAATGAGTGCAGAAGGGAGGGGGCAGGCAGACCTATACTCGGACATGCTTGGAGAGACAGAAGAAATGAATGATGGAGAGAGAGGACAGATGGACCTGTACTCAGACATGATCGAAGAGACTGAGGGAATGAATGAAGGAGGGAGAGGGCAGGCAGACCTGTACACAGACATGATCGAAGAGACAGAAGAAATGAGTGAAAGAGGGAGGGGGCTGGTGGAGGAACAGAGTGTGATGAGCTCCATGGATCTGTATGAAGACATAATTGAGGAGGAACGAGAAAATGAAAAGTTTGAGGAGGTGATTCAGCAAATGTTTCTATATGCAACACATGCTGAGTTTAAGTTTTCATCAGCACCAGTTAGTCATAAGTGAAGAACACAACACACTTATCAAGAAGTGCTTTATTAAGTGATCCCAAGAAAGCAAAAAGCCAGCTATAACCATTGAAATAGCATCATGCTTCATCTTCGATCTCCTGCATTATGTTTCTTGTTTCACAGAAGAAGACCATCGCCACCTGGTGATGATGTTCATTATTGCACTTCACCACAGGTGAAGTTTATCTTATGCAGCACATTTTATCTTTAGTCGATATAAGTTGTAATGTGTTGTTTTCCTTCTGACCTCCCCAGTTACGAAGTGAGGTGACTAAGACAGCAGGACAGATGGAGGATCTGATGGCTCAGATGGAACACGTACAGACAGAGGTAAGGTATCCTGACGAAAGTCCTAGGAACCTCAGTTCAGGAACCTACTTAATAACATCATGCCTATGTTTTTTCAGTGAGCTCTCCACCACAAAGTCACAAATTTCCAGTGTATATATGATATACTATAGAATTGTTTCAACCCCTACTGAAAATTTAACCATAGCAGAAGGAAATGAATTTACAGTAGCTTCATATTTCTCCACTGGTAACTTCATTGCCATAAAAATGGATTAAAACTAAAGAACATACAGTAGTACACTTGTATATTAAATTGATATGTCTGACAGTAAGTAACAGCAAGCCTTGTTTTCCTGTACCCCTCAGAAACAGTCCCTTGCCGCAGAGAACCGGGCGCTGAAGAAGAACATCTCTGTTCTGTTTGTCACGGCCAAGTCAGAACTGGACAGGAAACAGAAGGAGATCGCACAACTCAGGGCTGAGTAAGTACAACAACTACATAGATGATTTTTATGTTTACCGAAGGAAAGGAAGGAATTTCATTATATGTAAGTTTCTGTTTACTGTAGATTGTCCTCTAAAGTATGCAATTTTTTACTTCTTATTAATGAACTTTATTGCATATTGGAGACGTGTACATTATCGTAGAGCCATGTGCTTTTATTAGGGACGTGTACAGTAGTACCAGTACTTTTTCCAATCAATATGCTTCACTAAACTACACCTATAAACTAAGATGTTGCATTCTGGTCAGGCCTGAGTAGTTATAGGTTTCCTATACCGGTAAGATCCAGATGTGAAGCTCAGCAATAACTGGAACTCAACCCGATATCCTGCCTGCCTCACTGTGACAGTTCTGGGTTTTACTGGGTTCATATTGATCCTTGTGTAGTGGAATGATTTTCTGTCACAAAGATGATGAGGGATGGTACATAAACTATCTTAGGGGGATGTGTGAAAATTGTGCATAAGGGATGGTTCAGAAACTATCATAGGGGAATTTAGCTGCAAAATTGTGTTTCAGGTCTATTTTATATGTTCTATTGTTAGGGTTGTGTGAACATTATGCATAAGGGATGGTTCAGAAACTATCATAGGGGGAATTTAGTTGCAAAATTGTGTTTCAGGTCTATTATTTATGCATTATGTTGATTTTTGTTGATTGTTTATTGTAAATTTTCCTGCAGTCTGGACATGCTCCGAATGAGAAGAGGTGCACCCAGGATCCCTCACTCCACCAGGCCTTTTGACAACAGGTGAGACAGCCTTATGTGTTTCTCTCTTCATTATTTCATCTTGACTTATCAAGTGCCTTCAACATGCTATCAGTAACTCACATAGGTAAAGAACATACAATAAATAAACACTCTGAGTTTGTGTAAGGATTTTTAATGTTAAAGATTTGGCAGAGATCTCCAAATTTTAAGCAACCATTTGTCCTTTTGCTCTTACAGAAGTGACCACAGCAGACCTGGACCTTCTGGAAGAGAGTCCACAATCACACGAGAGGCCAGTTCAACTCACAGGGATGTGGCAGACAGACAGCCTGGCGGCTACAGACAGAACTATCAGCAGGGAGAATCTCCAGAAAGAGACAGGAGTAGGAGGGAAGGAGCAGGTGTGGCAAAGTCACATCCTGACAGAAACTTTAGAAGTTCCCAGTCTCCTGAGAAAGACCAGGACACGAGAATTGGTATCAGAGACAGGACAGGTCACTCCAAACCTGCAAAGTCTGATCTGAAAAGTAGAGATACAAAACAGCAGACAGGAGATAAAACAGACAGATCAGCTGGGGAAGGAAGTACGCCCCGGCAGGCAAGCCAAGACCGGGACAAACTGAAGAGAAAAGAAACAGAAGAGATAAAAAATATGGATGGGAAAACAGAAGAACGTGTTCAAGAAAGAAGTAAGTCAGTTGGAGAAAGAACTGGCCCACACACACCAACTTATCCTCACCCTGACTCTGAGCAGGAGGCCACAGTGGGCCAAGCATGTCTTAAGGAACCTGTGCCTGCAGGTTCTAAGACTCCTCCAGATCCTTACCCATATGAGGATGCTGCCCACAGTGGGAAATTAAGAAATGACTCTGAAAAGCATCACAAGCAAGAAGGAGGAAGACACAAGGTGACAGGAGATGATATTAAGAATAGAAAACATTCTAAGGAAAGGCAGAAAGATTCTGCCAACTGTTCATCTGGTAGCAAGAGCCTCTGTAGTCGTGAAAATAGCTTAGAAGATAAGAAAAAGGATAACAAGCAAGAAGGATACAGAAACAAGATGTCAGGGCATGATGAGGGTAGAGGACATTCTGGGGAAGGGAAAAAAGATTCTGCTTACTGTTCATCTGGCAGCGAGAGCCTCGGTAGGCACAGTCGTGAAAGTAGTTCAGAAAATAAGAGAATGGAATGTGAAAAGGACAAAAGGAGAGGCGAAGACTCTAGATATGACTCAAAAACAAGGAAACGAACCAGGCATGCATCTAGAGAAAAACATCAGAAGGAGGGAAGAAGCAGTAATGAAAAAAGTTTAGAGCGCAATAGAGAGGAGCTTGAACCAGACAGAAGGAGGGAGAACAACATCTCTCCTGGGGACTTGAGACAGAAACTAAGTCAGAACAAACACTCCAGAGATAAGTCAAAAGAGAAATCTTCTAATGACAGTAAAAAAGGGGACCACGACAAAAGGAAGGCAGTTGAACAGAAAGAACATAACTCAAGGAAAAGCAAAGAAAGTAGACATGGGAAGGAGCCAAGTAGCAGAATAACAGAGAGGGGGAGAGAGAGGCACAGGGATGAGGGAAGATCTACAGAGAGATACAGAAGTAATAGCAGGCTGCAGAGGGAGGGAAGGAGGAAAGGAGACAAAAGTGAACGTAGCCAACTTCCTGGAGACACCAGGGAACCTCAGAAAAGAAAGAGGTCATCTTCAGGCGAGCATAGACATCTTAAAGAAAGAAGAAAAGTGTCACCTCCAAGGAAAAAGCAATATGAGAAGGACCGAGATGGGCGTGAGCAGTCCAAGGAAAAGAAACAGTCCAGCTCAAGACAAAAGGACAGGTCTGAGGGAAGAAAAAAGGAGAGGTCAAGACATAGAAGCAGCGAAAGGTCAAACAGTCTACATGACTACAGTAAGGAGCCTGACAGAAGGGGCCATAGGTCAAAGTTCGTGAACTACAGAGACAGGTCAGAAGACAGAGACAGTGGCCCCGACAGTCAGCGATCTCTGAGTGTGGAGACTGACTCATCATTGGGAAGCAGTTCAGCTGGTAGCACTGCTGATGTTCAGAAACACTTACCTACTAGCTTTGAGGGCTCCCTTCACTCTTCTAGGAGTAGAGAAGCCAGACAGCAAGGCAGGGTAGCAGCTTTGACAAGTCCTGATAGAGGCAGTTCTTTCAATGAAGAGCCCATTGAAACTGATGCTATGGGGGAAGGGACAGATGCTTTAGACAAACAAGACACAGCAGTGGAAAGTCAGAAACATTACAAGGATGGTGATAAACTGAAAGAGAAAACAGACCATCCTACCAGTCCTCACAGAGGCAGAGCTGACAGAGAAAAGACCATACATAACAGCCCTGACTGTGCTACAGAAGCAGGAAGCAGCCAGCAGCAGCCAGTAACAACAGGTCATCAGCTCCAGGAGAAACCTGATGAGAGTGAGATGGAGGAAGAAGTTACCAGCACCACGACAGAGCAGCCTGACAGAGGAGCAGATGTGAGAGTCAGGGTTGATTCTGACAGCTGTGCTGAAGAGCTGGGCTCGATTCTGGCTCCCGTAAAGAGGAAAAGAGAGGATGTCACACAGGGACACATCACCTCACCTGCTTCTAAAAAGAAAAAGGCTGCTCAGAACACTCCAACAAAGAAGGGAAGGCTTTCTCCAAGGAAGAATGTGAAGCGAAGTCCTTCTAAGAAAGTCAAGTGTAGTCCTAAGAAGTCTCCTCAAAAGATTGCTCAAGAAGTTGCAGAGTCTGAAATCACTCCAAACATACCTGTGTCTCCTCAAAAGACTCCTAGGAAGTTAGTCAAGTCTCCTCAAACATCTCCTAAGAAAGTCACCATGTCTCCTCATGACACTTCAACAAAGAAAGTCTTCAAATCTCCACAAAAGACACCCAAGAAGTCATCAGCCACTCCTAAGAAGAAGTCTAAGTCGCCGCGGAAGACAGAAAACCTCGTGGAGAAGTGTAGAAGCATCGTCTGGACGGGGAAGAGCGCTAAGGGAAAAACCGTCAACCTCTTCCACATCGAGTATGAGACAGCGGAGAACGCGGCGCGTGAGATATTCCGTAACTCCCCGCTCCTCAGCCCGGTGAAGCCCCCCACCCCCCAGCTCAACCTGAGTGCCAGGAGCAGCGACCTTGAACTCCCCAGCGGTGAGGAGTCCTGCAGCCTGCCGCTCCCCGCCATCAGCGCTCAGCTCAAGACTGACAAGCGGGACATGGAACAGCCCATACCTTCTTATCATGGCAGCCTCAGTTTCAGCAGCTTTCATGGCAACACAGACACTAATTTGAAAAGTTTCAATCAAACAGAAAAGGTGAACCAACAGGAAAAAGAGCAGAGTTTACCAGAGAGTTTAAAAAGTGGGATGTCATCCCAGCTTCCATTTGTGCCAAGTGAAGACACCAGCAGAAGTGGTGGTTCCTCCTTAGAGGAACAAGACTTTTCTCAGACAGTTGTCCCTTTTAGCGGAGGGTCTGAGGTCTTGGAGACACGAGAACCTGTGTCAGCCCTTCTCTCCACAAAGGAAGTGAAACAGCAGACAAACTCTGAATCAACTGGGCCTTTTGAGGTCAGCATAATTGCTGAGTCTTCTACCCCAGATTCAGAACTCAAAGACAACGTGCAGACCCAAGATGGCCACGCATCTCCACAAAAAGGGGGAGAGGAGAAAGAGGACGATCTCACTTCAACAGAGGACAATGCTGCTGAGGATGGTAAAAAAGCAACTGTTGCAGAAGAAAGGGAAGAGCTGCCCTTGAGAACTGATGAGGAACTCAGGAGAAGTGTTGAGACCAGCTTACTCAGCATCAGTAATGAGTTTGACTCCAGTACAGCAAACCTTTCCAATGAGGAGCTCTTTGCTGTAGAGGTGCTGGCCCAACTTGCTGCTGCCGCTAAGACCCCAACCCACAGTCCTGTGAAACCTGCATTTTCCCTTCAACAGGCATCCCCTTGGAAAGGAGGGACTGAAAAACAAAAAGGCGGTGCCAAGAAAAGCCCAATGAAGGTGGCTGTGACAGGGTCAACACCCTACAGGTTGTTCTCCCCTGGGAGATTGGAACCTACCATTGCAGCAGAAGTTGAGGTGGGGTCAGGGTGTACTCCGAAAAAAGGCTCAAGGCAGAGAAAGTATGGAATGGATTCACCCTTTATTCCCCCACAACCATCAGCCTTGGGCAGCAAGAAGGAAAAGGCATATAAGAAGAGCACTGACAAAGGCTCTAAGAAAACAGATGAAAAGAAGAAAAGGGACAGAAAGGAGAAGCAGTCAGCAGAAGTTTTAGCAATACCTGAACAAGACAGTAAAGCCAAGAAGACAAAAGTCCCACCACAGGAAGTCAAACCTTTAAGATCTAGCCCAAGGAAGCCACAGGGTAAGACAGCTGATGCTGCAAGATTTCCAAGAAAAAGCCCTAGAAAGCCAAGTACTGTGACTTCAGTTGAATCCACAGAAGAAGCAGCAGTAGTAGACATCAGCCAACAGAAAACGAAAGGTAGTCTGCAAGAAAACCAGACACTGATGACACACCACAAGGAAGCCAGAAAAACAAGCACAAGTTCATCTGTAGCGAGATCAAGTGATCACAATACAGAATCAGCATCATACTGTGTGTGGCAAACTAGACAAACACCTGAGATGGAGGGAGAATCAACACTTACAGACTTAGAGAAGAACAGTTGGGCAGACAGACTGCCACATGACGACCTAGAAGACATGCCTAATATGATTGTCCTCTCCCCCAAATCAAATGGATTTCAGACTCGGTTAATGAAGAAAAATGTCGCACAAAGTGAAACGTCTGCACACGATCGTTCAGAGGCAAACAAACCTTCCCTTGTTGGTAAAATTGAAACAACTAACAACAAACAAATTATCAATAGTACTCCAGAAACAATACAGAGTGATTCAAAATCAAATCAGAAGGATTTGCTGACTGTGCCAACTTCAAGCAAGCAACGTGTTTCAACAGACCTGCAGCAAGCAGCAAGTCCTAAAGTTCATGATGTAGAAAACAATAAAGAAACAGTGCCAGATGACAGCTCAAGCAAACAGATACAAAAACAACCAGTCACAAGTACTTCTTCTCTACTGCACCCCCCTCACAACAGGCCAAGCACAAACCTTGGAGAGAAGTCTGCACCAAATCAAACTTCAAAATACATCAGTACTGGTACACCAGCCAGGCAGCATGGGGAGGGGGGCAGAGTGGATTCATCAGCCAGTAAGGGTGACAGCAAGGTGTCAAAGGAATTAGAACCAATGCAGACAGGAGAAACAACAGAGAGCCTTGCTGCTACTGCTAGTACTGAAGAAAATGAGGCTCCTCTTGGTGACCACAACGTGGGAAGAACTGATAAGTCACAGACTACGCTGAAACAAGAAATCAACACAGGGAAGTCCACATTGGGTGAGGAAGAACTAGAGGTTGCTGTCAAACATGGCGTACAAACCAGTGCTAAACCACAGCCACAGACTTCCCTGTCACCAGATACAGACGTGGAAGAGGAAATGGAGGAAGGAGAATGCACATCATCAGATGAAGAAGAACTAGACACCACTGTCTTGTTGCCTTGTAGCACGTCAGAAGAGAACGCAGCCCACAACTCCATCGAGACGGCGGCTTCCTTCAACAGCGACACCAGCCTGCCCCGCCCCTCCACACCCACCGGGCTCCGTCAGGAGATGACCTTGGATCAGTTCTCTGTCCTTGACCCCGATGACCTGCGGTGCCAGAGCGCCATGTCCATCGACGTGCGTCTCATCCCGTCCACCCCTTCCGGGAAAATGGGCCCACCCAGCAGAGGGGCAACGCCCTCGGGTAAAGACGATGCTTCGACACCTGGGAAGTCAAACCCAGCTCTGCCGAAGACACCTGCGGAGAAAAGGCAGTCAGGTGCATTCCGACAGCTGTTCAACTCTCCACCAGGTGGAAGGTTTGCCAGCACACCTGCCGCTGAGAGACCGAAGCCGCCAAGGTTCCAACTAGACATGTCAGTCATTGGCACAGGTAAAGAAGAAGACAGTCAGCAACTGGGCACACTTGTAGTCAGTGAAATAGCAGATAAAACTAGGCAGGACATCGGGGATACTTCAAGGAAAGCAGACACAGTGAAGCAATGTGAGACAGTTGATACAGCAGTACAGGGTAACAGCAAGCTGCATACAAAGGATTTGAAACACTTTGAGACAGACAAAATGCACAGGCAAACAGAGAAAGAAAGGAAGACGAGTGGTGAGAAGAAGACCTGGACTTTGCCTGGAAGTGGGAGAGTTAACACAACCATTGCCTCCTCACCCAAATTAGCTCCCCCCAGAAGATTGCCCAGCAAAACAGATGCCTTCAGAAAACACCTTGCTGATGAAAACTTGAAGAAAGATAGTGAAGATACAAAACAGCAGACAGAAGAAAGTCATAAGAAGATGAAGTGTGTGCAAACACCAGAAAAAAATATGAAAAGGAAAGACTTGGATCCTTCTGACTTCTTCCCAGATGTATCAAGTGATGAAGACGATGTCTCAGACGGTCTGGGAGATCAAGAAGAACCAATGGAGGTACCAGTACCTCTTCCTGAGAGCAAGGCATCACTTACAGGTAAAGAGACAATAGCTCATGTTGAAGAAGTATCTTCAGTCAGGAAACAGCCTGTCAGTTCTAAAGCATCCTGCCAGCAACAGGCAGAAGAAACTGCCAAAAGAAACTCAGTAGACATGCCAAGTGCTTTTCCAAGTGTCACAGAAGACAGGCCAAGTGCTTCTGCAAGTGCCAAGGTCTCACTTAGTCCCACTTCTTCAATAAATCAACCTATGAAGGAAATCAGTACCAACAGTCCTGTATCAGCTGTTCATCAGAAAGATCCAAAAACATGGGGAGCACAAGGGTCAGACAGACAAGCTAGCATCACCTTTGGGAAAGCTGTACCTGGTATAGACAAAGCTTCAAACAGCAACACTGTAACAGACACTGCTATGGTGGAGGCTGGTAACATTAGCACTGTCACTGCACCAAAGGGAAAAGGCACTGGTGTTTGTAGTGTGCAGTCAGAAACTGGTCTTGCAGCATGGCATAAGCAAGATGCAGTACCCAACACTGTGGATACTTCAGCAGGTCTATCTGGGACAGAAGCACCCATGTCTGCAAGTCTTTCCCCTGATCAGACCCCCAGCTTGACAGACCCTCCAAGCTTGCTCATGCCATCAGACATTCAGACACTCCCAAACCAGCCACAGCATCCACTCTGTGCAGTAAGTAACACCCATGGCGGTGTTGCTGTTCAACAGCCATTGTCCAAGGAACAACCTTCAGCTCTTCCTCTTCACAATATCTCACCAGAGCCCTGTGGACAAAAGTCTGTCATCCCAACACCCCTGCCTTCTGATGTAGAAGACGTTGTCATCCAAGGGCCAATGCCTCCAAACTCATCTGCAGATGGTATATTCCGAGTTCCCCTCCCTCCTATGAATCGTGAACCACCCCCTCAGCCTGCAAATGTGTCGCAGCCAACACCGCCAGTTTATGTTGCAGAGAGACCTGTCATCAAGCTGAACAAGTTCTCGTATGCTGCAATCTGTGCACTGGAGGCAAACTACGGGTACGAGTGGCTGTGGCCAGTCAAACCACAGGCACAAGAGTCGCTACCAACTAAACAGGAGCCAGACTTCTTATCATCAACAACAGGAAGTCAAGAGACAAAGTTATTTGTTACAACCTGTGAAAGCAATGTGGCAGCACCTCAACCCTCCCCCCTGCACAGTCAACAGTTTCCAGCAAGTACACAAATACTACAGCCTGTTGCTGGTGGGGAAAGTCAGACTTTTTCTGCCCTCACGTCTTCTGTTACTGTTGGAAACCATAATCACAGAAACGCCAGGACTGGAAGGGACAGGACTTCAGGAGTGGTTACGTCAAAAGTTGAGGGAAAGACAGTGAAGGAACTCCTCTCTAAGTCACGCAAACAGCAAGGAAAAGTTCAACAACAGACTGGTTTAGTTACAGGTGTAGAAGCGATGAACACAGGGCGGAATCATCAGGTGTTGCAAGGTGTACCTCAAGCAGCTGTTCCACCTGCGACAGGTGTGTTTCTGCCAGGTGTGTCACAGGTAGTAGGTGGGCCACAGGTGCCAGGTTCATCACAGGTGAAAGTTACGTCACAGGTTCCAGGTATGTCGCCCATGACAGGTGTGTCACGGGTGCCAGGTGTGTTACCTTCCACTGTTGGAAACACAGCTCAAGTTCTGTATTCTGCAAACAGGAACATCTTTGATGCTCTGTCCGGAGAGAGACTGGGTGTGTCCAACACACCAGTTGGCACACATGTTCTTACTAGTCAACAAGAAAATGTAAGAACTGGACCAACTGTTGTCATGCCACCCACTCCACCTTGCAATACACCAAAAGATGTTCCAACTCACACTCAAACACCTGACAGCAAAACATGCAACAAAAGAATCACGTCTCCCAACCCAGATATTTGGTACCAAGCATTCGGCTCTCCCAAGGCAGCAGCTCAGAATACAGAAATGTCTGAAACTCAGAAGACTACAGCACACAAGGAGAAGGGCACAGGTGTGGTGAAGAAGTGTCTTGAAGTAAATCACCAAGAAGAAGATGAAGACTTGTCAGAGGGAGAAATTGTCAGTGATGATGAGGACGCCACAGTAGTGAAATCTTCTGGTACATCATCTTACAGAGACAGTCACTGTAGGGAGAAGCTGTATACTGGCACTTCTAAACAAAATGAGGGCAGTTCTGCAAGACAAAACAACAGGCAACACAGTGAACAAAGGGTAAAGGATGATAGACATTCACACAGAAGTCAGAAAACATCGGACATGAAACGTGACAGAAAACACACGGAGCACAGCCGCCACGGCTCGAGAAGACCAACCTCAGAAGAGGTCAGGTTGAGAGAACAGAACTATAAGGAGGGCTGGGGGAGGGGGGACAGGGGGAGGACTGAGCACGGGAGAGGGGAGAAGGTGTCCCGGGACAGAGCTCCAGCATCATGGGAAGGAGAGCAAGTCTCTAGAAAGGCAAGTAAAGTTGAAAGGAAAGCCAGAAGATGACGTGAGATGTCTCCAGGTAGACTTGAAACACAGTGCAAGTAAGGAATGCAGCAGCTGCTTATTTTTGGTTAAGTGTTGTGGTTTAAAGGTTTTGTTTAAGTTCCACTTTGGATTACTTGGCCCACACATCCAGATGGCCAGATCTGATGAAAAACTTTTTCATTTTGCCCCTATCTGTCCTATGATGACATATGATAAGTATTATGATCAGTAAATCTTATTTTTTTTTAGGAAAAGATCAGTGTATTGGCAGATGTTATGAAGAGAGGTTTATGTGGCCATGTGAAAGAGATTAGTGTGAAAGTTGAATTCTTTGATTTGATTTTAATTGTTTTGTTTTGTTGGACTTTCTACATTTGTCAGAAATCCTGCCAAACGGATTGTTTCTGTTCTTGTGTTTGTCCAACTTTGATGATAATTGATATAGCATTGATGATGATTAATAATTTTATGATTATAATGCTTATGATATAGAATGGCTTATCTGTTGATGTCCCTCAGGCATTGAAAACTTACCACTCAAAGTATGATTTGCAGGAATCCAGCAATTGTTAACCTGATAGTTTATGAATGATTATAATGTCTTAACAACTGAGATATAATTGCAATATTAACATCAACTGTGGTTTAGTCTGCTTCATGTATATATGTTTTAATTTTCCAAAGGTGCCATATCTGTGAAAATGTAATTGATGTCTGAATATTATTGTAATATTGAATAAACCTCTTTGGAGTTTAAGATTTCTGATTGTCTTGCAGAGGGCTTCATTTGGCCACAACAATTCTTGGACCTTATCAGCAATCATGCATAAGTTTTAATGCACTTTTTTTTATTGTTTTACAATATTGTTTCCAATATCTGTATCATTTAACAAAAGAAAGTAACTAAGCCAAGCTAACATCGTAGATGCCAGACAACAAATGGACTTTGCTTTTATATCTAGTGTCTTTTATCAGCATAAACTCTAAAATCTACATAAGAGCCTGTCTCCGTATCTCCAACGACTTTTTCCTGAAAAATCTTTCATGTCAGTACGTGCTCACCATCCCCAATATCAAGACCATACGGTAGCATAAGTCTTGATTTACGTTGTCTCTTTTCTTGCCAAAGTTGCCAGGATTGTCCAGTCCTGCTCACGTGATCCCCATCTATGGATCAATACAATTATCGATCCTGAGATCGCCAGTATCGATCAGTAACAGATAATGTAGGGTAATGGTGAACGTTACAGCGTTCTAGTCCCCACTCCAACCCTCTCGGGTGAAATGAATATGGAAATTGTCAGAGGCCAACTACATGTTCATGGAATTCTTGCTCCTTAGTCAACTGTTCACCAATTTCTAAAGAAAAAAACTCCAGAAATTTTAGAGCCTCCATCTTCTCTTTTTTCTGCCTTTTCTTGTATTGCTTTGTGATGGCCCCGCCCCCTTACGCATCCCAAGAGCCGCTTACATCAAGGAGCTTTAACTGATTTAACGTCCTTGCTTATACTTTTATAGTGAGATGAATCCTACACCTACATGTAGATGTTAATATTTTTACCTTCGAAGTATTGGCTTTCGCGTTTTGTGTACAATTTTGCATATTAAGAGTATTCGCTGGGGTAAAATGAAGGTTTCAAGTGGCCCTTATAACTTGCCTTTACGCTTGTATAGCAAGGGCCTATATTTTCCTCCCTACAAGTGTGTATTAAAAGGTTCACACCTAAAAATAAAAACGTGCAAAACACTAGCCTGGTTTAATACCAATCTTATTATAGCCCCCGAGGATGTAGGACTCGGGAGCTATAATAGATTTGGTAACCAGGCTACAAAACACCGAGGCGCATCCTCCATCTGCTTGGAGATTAGCATATCTCCCTGCTTCTATATTCAGCCTGAGCTGCTTTAATTTCCATGCGGCTCCCCCGTAGTTTCAGGGGCCGACCCTCCGGAGAGGTGATCAGTTTACTGCACTGTTGGCGCGGATGACGTTCCTCGGCCCTCCCTGCGTGGTGTGATATATAAAGGTTAGACTCCGCGAGGGGCAGGCAGAGGGGCTAGCCGTGCCGGGGTAGCTTTAGTAGCGATCCATGTTGTTGTTAGCAAATCCCTGTATGTAGCCGTGCTGCTGTGTGTATCAAGCAAACGGCATCCCTAGCTACGCAGTAATACTAGTCCTGACAGCCGTGTCGTGATGCTACAGCGATCCTTGCAGCCGTGCCGTGCTTGTTATCAACCCTCCTCCTCTATGCGGAACGTCGTGACAATCCTCATCCTGATCTTCATCACGCCCCTTCATTGGTGTACGGTTACAGATTGTAGCATCTGACTGCTGCACTGCGTGTTGTGACAATCCGTGCTGCCAGTTATGTGGTCATCCATCAGGAATCTGTGTACAGAGTGAGCGTACAGTACAGCCTGTGTTTTAATAGCGCGCTGTACAGTACGGGAGAGACCCGAGGTGAACCTTAAACGCACCCGGCCGTAATAGAACAAGGTAATGCCGCGGCGTGAGTGTTTACTAAACCTCGCCTTGACTCAGACGGCGGAACGCTAGGCGTGAACCCGCGAGTGGTTCTCAGAATTCACGGCGCCATGGACATATATCCAGCCCCGCTCGGTATAATAGTACTAGTAGTAATCACCGATCGGAGCGGATTTTACGGGCACCCAGACGGCGTACAGGCGGAGGATGAACAAGCCGAGGCGGCCGCGGCAGCAGCTGGACAGACAGGGGCTGTTCGTGGTGCTGGCCATGGCCGCAGCAGGGACCGTCATCTGGCTGTGCCAGGACCTGCTCGGTACGTAGGGCACTCTTTCCTAACCTCCTGTGCAGGATCCGGAGCAGGTAAGAATTTTAATACAGCGTTTTGAAGGATTTTTAACGCCCGTGGGCGGAATGGAACCTTCTCCCGGCGGCTGGTTATACGATGGCCGGCTATTAATTATAACTCTTCAAAACGCTGTATCAAAATCCCCCCCCCCCCGAGCCTGCACAGGAGGCTAACTCTTTCCTAGCCTCCACCAGGCCTTCCTACGGGGGTACGGATCATAGTGTTGGGTAATACCAGACAACAAATTGATTTTGCTTTTTTTTATGTAGTATCTCTTATCAGCATACACTCTCAAATCTACATAAGAACCTGTTTCCATATGGCTCGAGCTCTGCTCGGTACGTAGGGCACTCTTTCCTAGCCTCCACCAGGCCTTGCTATATAGGGAGCACGCATCGTAAAATTTTGTATAAAAAAAGGGTGGTGGGGAGTTAGCCAGGAGAGTCCGTCCGCGAGAGGGTTAATTTCCCCCCAACTGCGAGGGCAAATGAAATCTACGGTGGCTAAAATCTAGTCTCCACCAGACTCCTTTTGCAGGCTCAATAAATAGTAGAAATCGGCCTTTAAAGGAGAGAGAAACTGGCCGCCCAGAGAAGCCTGCACTATTTATTCAGCCTGCAAAAGGTGTCTGGTGGAGACTAGCTAAACTCCCCTAGTCAATTGTTCTCCCTATTGGCTAAATTTGGCTTTTTTCGAACCCGCGTAGTTATTCTGGTGGAAACCAGAGGGTGGAAACTAACTCTTTCCGTGACACGGCGATCCCTGGGCGACCGTTATGTGACCAAAATCGGATGAGTGTGATTAACCAGATGAACTTTCATGCTAACCATTGGTAGTATTATAGGTGAAATATTCATGATGCAAACTAAACGTGTGATCATGATTTAAAATCGCTCTTTATCTATAAATAAAATTCTCTGTGTGATCTGTCAGATTTTTGGTATTACTAATTTCTGGTCACTCAGCTGTCGCATCGGATTAGTGTGAGTGGAAACTAGATGATGCAAACTAAACGTGTGATCATGTGCAAAAAAGAAACCCCGATAAAAAATACGCCAAAAATAAGCCAAAATCCAAACCTCTGCTTGGAGAGTAGGCTAGCGCTCGTGCCGCAGCGTTATTGGAGATCGATACCCGAGTATTGCTAATCGATCAGGCGGGATGGAGTCTGTGCGATGTCGCCTTGATTTCATTCATTACAAGAAAATCGGACTGATTTGGCTTGAATCATTTTCCTCCCAAACGTTTCTGGCTTTTCCCGTAATTAATCTCCAAGCAGATGTTGGGTGCAGGTCAATGTTTTGGGCGTGTTTTGGGGGGCTTTCCATGCCTATTTCTGGGTATTTTCTCTCTTCTGCGAATGGCAGAGAGGGTGCTATTACCAAAAGGGCGAAATGACAAAATGACGCAAAATCACGCGTGAAACTCCGAGACTTATACACCCGACTCTTATACATCTTTGGAGAATAGATGTCATCCATGGCAGTAGTATAGCGGGAGAGCACTGAGTCTAGTCGCCAAGGAGGCTAAAGTGAAATCTCAAAGCAGATCCTAGGGTGGCAAAAGACAGTATCAAATTGGCCATAGAGGGTATTGGGCCCTCTCTGGCCAATGCATATATATATATGGATACTGCCTGGCAAATTTGATACTGTCTTTTGCCACCCTAGGATCTGCTTTGAGATTAGCTACAACCACGATTTATGCTAATGTACTGCTTCTCTGAAAGTGGTGTACTTTAAGACTTTAAAATGGTGCATACTGCTTTCTCAGCATTATTTGAGAAAGAGTATGGAAGTTAAACACACACCACTACCAGTGGACTGAACCCCTGCTGTAGTGATTGCATAACTGTGCGGCACAAGGGCTACAGAAACGGAGATGGGCGCCGCCATATGCGACTATGTTAATGGTTGCGGGGAGGACTTAAACTTTTTTTACTGCTTCTCTCGTCCCATCAGATGACCTTACGGACAAAAGTTACCCCCAGGAGCTCCTTTACTGTCGCCTTAAGAAGATTCCCTTCTCCACCATCTCCTCCAAGACTCCCGCCTTCAGAAGCTATCCCTTCAGGCAGCACTTTCCGGAAGTGACGTTACCGGAAGCTGTTCATTTCAACACATGCGCAGTAGTGAGCAGCAGCCACGCCATGCGGACTCATCTTTACGGGAAAGAAATTGGTGATTCAAGTTTCGTTATTTTCAATTTCTGTTTTTGTAGTAGACACGACATGAATTGAGGTGACAAAAATAGCTATCTTACCACTTTGATCATACCGGAACAAGCAGAAACGCACAAAAATCATACCGAAACTAAAGCTTCCACGGTACATATAGACACCTGATGGACTTTCGATGTGTTGACGTCTCAGTTTATCTGCTTTTGGGGCCATTATTTTCTCTAGCCTGATATAGAGATTCTTTATTGACTCCGCAAAAGTACAGGGACGTTCGTATGGTCTACTACAACTAAGAACCAACAAAACTAAATACATGTATGAATGTAAAAGTGCACGTGAGTAAAACGGCAAGTGAGACATTAATGTAACATCCTTGCTCCCTCTAGACGCACATGACGCCGTCTTAAGATTCAACTGCGCCGTCGTCAAGTCGTTCGAGGAGTTTGTTGGGTCCAACACGACCCTCCGTCTCATCAACACACAGGTGCCGAACTGGAGAAAGTCTCGCTGCAAGACGGACTTCTGGAAGACGAACTCTTCGTTTCGCCAAGAAATCTTGGTCATGAGGAACGTCAACTCCGTCACCGGGAATGTCGTGAAGGACAAGAAGGAGAGATACGGAGCCATTCGGAATTACGTCAGGTATGACGTCACGGTTCTGCAGTCCCAGGATATCGTAGATTATCATATACTATAGCTAGAAGACGTTGACCAATCAGAATGCTCCTTTTCCCATTGGTTATCAGGCTGTAACCTTGAAAGTGGTCGGTTATTAGAATAACCGAACACTTTTTTGACCGTATCATTATATATAGGGGACAGGACACTAACAGTAGTGTTAAGAATATTTACCTATTAAAAACGTATTGCAGTTCATTTTGGATATATAAGGTCGTTTTCTCGTATATAAGGTTAACATTCCTTCTGTAGTTTCCAAATGGTATGTCCGAAAAGATATCGTCTGTAACAGGCAAAATTCAAATGCAACATTGATCAAACATCCAACGAAAACCGCGGAAAAAAACAGGGTTTCGCGCAGACGAAGTGCGTTTTGCCGACGTGTTGATAACACAATATGCCCACAAATTTTGTTGTAAAGAGATTTAGATCAGTTTATGATTTACTGAGGTGTTTTTGTGTTCTCAGGTACAGACAGAGTTTTCACAGTGGTGCCTTCTTTGTTCACGTGCCGGGATTTTACGACGCGGTTCATCAGCTGCAGGCGGGCTTCTGCAGCAAGACGGGAACCTGCAGCAAGAGGAGGAGCTCAACCTCCGGGTTCCTGGGTGAGGAAAATCTGCGATAGATTTGAAGGAGCGATAGACTTACTGCATTCCTGTTGGCACAATACTCATCATAATATTTATCAATGCCATTTTATGTAACGTAATATCTTGTAGATGATTGTATAGTGAAATAATTATAATGAAACGTTGAAGAAGGTTAGACATCCAGGTAAACGATATTCATAACACAATTCAAACTCTTCTACTGGATAAAGTACGGCGATTACTTCCGGACGTTTTGAGTGACATCCATCTCTCTTCTTCCACATCACTTTATAATTAACTGACGAAACAAGTCAACAAATATGGCTATTTTGGCTAGTCAGTCGGGTGGGGTTCTAGACGCGCAATGTAATCAGTCTAAAAATTGTCCATCTTTGTGACCTTACCCACGTTTTTTTTCCATCCAGGTGTGTTGATGATGATGCATATCTGCGACTGGGTCACCCTGTACGAGATGGTACCGTCCGTTGCCGGGCAACGGGACAAGCGGGAGTACTACTGGGATGACGTCAAGGTGCGGACGGGCGGCGCGCGGGAGAGCACGCACTCCTACTCCGCCGACAGGACCGTCATGCGGAACCTGGCCGTCACGGACTCCAAACAGATCGACTCTACAGGACGGGCCACCCTAAAGGGCTTCAGTCAAGTCAACTGTGACTAGATTTAATCTCCAAGCAGATGTTTCGGTGGCCGCGAAATACAGTATCAAATTGCTCAGGCGGTTTCCATTGGCCAGACTGTATCCATTTGCCTGGCCAATTTGATACGGTATTTTGTGGTCACCGTAACATCTGCTTGGAGATTATGACTAGATTCATGTTAATTAATTATGTTTGTTTGTTTGTTTTATTGTTATTCATCTGTCAAAACTCCTCAGGCAGCACTGCTGATTTCTCATGAACCAAAACACACAGAAACACGCACGAATAAAATCAAACAGAATCTTCAAGACAATACTTACGGAAACGACCAAATTAACTTCACCAAAGTCATCCGAAAAATCCTTGTTATCTACATGCAAACGCTTTAATACACTACAATGACGATACTGTAATATTATACATGTACTAGGGATACATAATATACTGTATAAGTACAAAGAATTAATTATTGAAGTACTTACACTGAAATTACCACTAAGTATCACTAACACCAAACTTATCACTTTTATAATTACCAGTCTTTGTTACTATCTTTGTTGTGAATTACATAAGGACAACTACGTGGACGAGACGAAAAAGAACTCGTTCATATCTTTGCTCTGGTTTGTGTTCCTCCTTGATAACTAGCAACACTACAGCCGCTGCATTGCAGCAACAGACGGAGATTTTCAGTACATAGTCAACATACTCTGTATCTTTATAGACGGTATAACCACCCTTCAGCGTAACACACCAGCTTCGCAGGCACGCGGCGCGGTGGCAGCTGGCTACATTACACCGAACGACTTGTTACACATAACCCTTGAACATCTAACTAAACATTGTTTAAAGCTATCTAATGATAATGCTCCTACTGTACTTGGTGACAGCGAGTTTCACTCTACGATAGTTCTACGTAGAACAGTTTTTCAACACCTCAGTGCTTAGTCGTCGAGTACTGACGGATCAGATCTCGGAAAGCTGCAGGACCCGGTAGCTATCAGTTTTTTTTAAATATTCTATACCACTACAGGCTGGCTTCCCAGGTTGCTGGAAAAAGACTAGGTGTTCGCGCTAGTAATTGGCTCCGTCTCGCTCGGATCATGGCGAGGGCCTCGTCTCTTCCGCCCGGATCGGAAGGCCAGCGCGGCGCCGACCAGGGCCAGGCAGGCGACGACGGCCAGCACGGACACAGTCGCGACCTGAGCCGCGGGGAGCTTGCCGGCTCCGGTCCGCGGTGCCGGGGTGGGGGGAGGGCCCGGGATCAGCGTGGTGCCTGCAAGAAATGGTACAAAATCGATACACTGTAGGACACTACGTTAAACTAGGCAACATTCGATAAACGGAAATTTAACCTATGTCAAGACGGCTTCCTTTTCTGGGTCTACATGATTGAGATGTCTTGTTTGAAGTTTTCTTGAATTTACTAGTATTTAGTTTCTACTTTGAAACATATACATAACATACATGAAACATAACTATACATATATGTTAACCCTGTCACCCATGCCCGGCGCCCATTCTGTTATGTTACAAAGCTCAAAACTAGATGGAAACCTTACCAGGTCCGTCACAGGCGAAGACGTTGCAGGTTTGGGCGTCCAGGTTGTCCCCCGTGCAGAACTGGCCCCCGCCGGAGGTGAGCGGGTTGTCGCAGGCCCGTGCCCTCTTGCTGGTCCCGCCGCCACACCGAAGCGAGCACGTCGACCAGCCTGCCCAGCACCCCCAGTTTCCATCGACATCTTTTACTGTGAGTGAAGGAGAATTTATCCAAGTTGAGGTTAACGTGCGTGCACCTAGGGGACGGGAAACGTTAAATTTCTTCCACTGTACGGATAGAGTGGAGGAGAATTTTGTCCAAGTTGAGGCTAAAGGTGCGTGCACCTAGGCGACGGGGGTCGTTACAGACTTCCGGGCACCTTTGACCTATGCCTGGAGTACTGTATACCATTTTCGTCCGGAAATTTGGGTGGTGACCAAATGAGAGAAAATTACTTTTGTCATCTCTAGTAATCTCCAAGCAGATCCTAGGGTGGCAAAAGACAGTATCAAATTGTCCAGGCAGTATCCATTGGCCAGAGAGGGTCCAATACGCCGCCCAAAGATACTGCCTGGCCAATTTGATACTGTCTTTTGCCACCCTAGGATCTGTCGGAGATTACTCTCTAGAGCTTTACGAGGATAACTGACCCTGCCTTACCCGCCAGTCTTGGATCAGCCACTTTCTCGCAGGACGCGCCATACGTCCCCTCCGCGCAGACGCACTCGCAGGCCGTCCCGATCAGAACTGCCCTGCCGTTGTTCCGGCAGGGGGCGCACTTGCACGGGTGGAACTCGTCCAGGTACTGCACCAGGGCGCGCTCTAGGTGGCGCTTCTTCGCGGCTGCCAGGGACACGCCGGCGACCAGTTCCGACAATGGAAGCAGCTGAAAAAAATCAAACAAGAAATATGATTTTCTGACGTGTTTTAAGTTCAAACTTTAGGTCCAACACAATAAATTTCTATCACCTTCAGCTTTCGACCAATCACTCTGGTCTTCTTCAGTAGACTGACCCAGAGAGGCTTGTCCCGTGACTTCTTTGAAGTGTGACGTCAACACTGGGTCAAAGCTAAATTTTCTGACATTTACTTCTGATATCGTCATCTACAAAACTTGAAGTTTTACTTATAATATTACTGTCAATTTTAAAAAGCGACGACTTTGAAGATTAGGGGACCCTCCCGGTGTGAGTGGTTCAAACCTTACAGTCTGGTCTCAGGGTTGACATCTTGAAGGGTGATAGTCACATGTTATGTTAATCCTTCCACAAATGTGGTAGATCTTTATAAATAAATAAGATCTCACCTCAACAGAGATAACTGCGGGGTTGTTCTTGATATCATCCAGCCAGGCTTGGTACTTGTCCGTCATTGGTCGGTTGGCGTAGGCCAGGTTTCCGGCCGTTTCCGACGTCCCGCCCTTCACAAACGACACGCTGTCACGGGCGGCCAGGGTGAAACTACCTGTCATGGGACGTGCAACAGATCAGTCCATCAATCAATCAATCAATCAAAACAGCGAAGGTGGTCTCAAACCAGTTTAACATACTAGAAGTGAACTCAATGGACAGTTGAGCTATATCCTTCCACTCCACAGTGTTCGTGACAGAGAAGACAGACGCTATGTACAATTTTACAGGTTCATTATATTGTAACGGGGAAATTCCCCTTGCTCTTTCCAAGAAGTAAAATCATGGAGGTAGAAAAAACATGGTACAATGGACCTAAGGATCGCAACCCTTTCCAAGTCGGATGGGCGACGACAGCCGTTAGTCAAACTCACTACATCATCATGGGCCAGAGGCAGGGCCGGTAACATGAACAAGTCAAGAGCACTATGTTTGAATTCGTGACAGAGAAGACAGACGCTATGTACATTTTTGACAGGTTCATTTTATCGGGGAAACACCCCTTTCCCGTAGAATGCATGTAGGATGAGCGTCAAAGTCACGACATCATAGCCAAGAGGCAGGGGACTCTGACGCTAGCTTTTTTTCTTTCCCCACCTGCGGTCTGCTGAGACAGGCGGTTGTCCTGGCAGTTCTTGTAGCCGCCGCCGACGCTGATACCCAGGAAGGACGCCTTGGCTTCCACACTGAGACACGACTTCTGCTGCTCGTCACTCAGACCTGCAGGAATATGAACATCATCAATCAAAAACCTAAGATAAGCTGAGACTATGGCCTTGAAAAGAGCTGGCTGGAGAAACCAGACGAGGGGGAGCAAGAGGTCCGAGATCCTGGCCTGTGCACGGAGGCAGGTAGGCAATCAAAAAACAGCAGCTAGGACATAACAAGATCCTTTGGCAAACATCATTCGAATTCGTATACGTAGTCTTTGGGAAAACGGCAGCGCTGAAAAATGAGAGAGATCGGACCACTCCTTCTGTTACATTTTTCCTGAGCCTCTCTGGACTCATCCTTTGGCAAAAAAAGACAGCCTCTCTGCTACATATCAGCCCAAAAAGTTATGATGAAAAAAAGAAACGTACCAGACTCGGTGAGGTTACGGCGGTTGTACCTGTACGCGTACCGGTACTGTCCGCCCAGCCGGCCCGCGGACACGTAGTGCGTCCCGAAGTCTATGATCAACTTCCTGTACTCCGCATAGCTGTAGACCACCGGCAACTCCACTAGGGCTCTAAACAGAGAAATAGGGCGGAAACATCATAAGTCGTGGGGTCGTGTGGCGTAACGGCAGAGTGCTCGACTTGGAACCAAGAGGCCCCTGGTTCGAGTCCTGACATACCACCGATCTTGTGCCCTTGGGAAAGGCACTTTACACCGCTTTCCTCACTTAACTCAAGTGAAAATGAGTACTGTCCAGTCCTATTTGTCCTCTGCGTTGGTGGCGGTATAAGATAAGTTGATATAATTACTTGAGTGTCACCATGTCTAGTCATGAAATGTTGGAATATGAAAAAAATTAAAAAAACCAGCAGTCTATTACAATCGCACGATGCACGTACGTGTTATACGAAAGTCAAAAGTGGATAGCTAGAAGTGGACTGTGGCTAGAATACGTGACTATTGAAGCGAGCTGAGAGGATTCCGGGTTACCTATAAAAGCTGTCGGTCAGGATAAAGTTGCTGTCTCCGTTCATCTTGAACTGCGCAAGCTCGACCTGGTTCGACACCGTGAAGAGGGCGGAGTCTGACGTCTGGCTGGACCTGATGACGTCACGGTTGCCATGGGACTGGCTGCTGGCGACCTCACCGCTGGCAGAGAACACCTGAACAAGAGACAGGAAAAAAGGACTTTGTAATCTCTCAGCTATTGCTGTAACAGAATACCATGATATACCTGTCTATAATGACACGTACATCACATGCAGAAATGACAACATTGTGACCCTGAAATATGACAAAATATGTTCATAGACAGTATCGTTTCGAATTTCTCTTATCACTTTGTAGAGCACAGTTCTCTCCATTTGTCTATTTTGGTCAGATCCGGAATCTATAGGTGTGTACTGTGGTGGCTAAAATTTTTCTTTTTTCACGATTGAGTTTAAAGTAGCCAATATTAGCTCCAGGTTTGTGCTTGAGAAGTTTGGTTTGTACATGATACGTAAATACAATGAGCAAAATAACATACAAATGATGTAACTGTGCAAGGGAGGCTAAAATGCCGAATCGTACCTTGAAGGACGCGGATGCGCTTGCACTGATGTCCCTCTGTCGGTTTGCCGTGGTGTCCTGGTAGAACTGTTTAGAGCTGCTGAACTGTTCCGCACGGAAAGACGTGTCCGCTACAACCTGGGAAAGAGGAACACCCATATGTTTACAGGTGGAAATGTTTATGTCTGTTGTCCGTGTGTTTGTCTGCGTTGGTGGCGGCATAAAAATAAGTTGAAAAACTTGTGTGTGCCGTCGCAATGTCGGAATAGAAAAAAAGTATTTAACGTTACAGTTTCGAATTCCTTTGATTATCTTGTTTTGCATGGCTTCTGCACAGCATACTACCATGGCTCCCAGGCTGGACAAGGACTATGGATATGGAGCTTTGAGTGACTGCAGATGTCAGACTTGAAATCTATGGTGAATCTATGGTCAATGACGTCCAGCTTGATACTAGGTGAAGGAGACTACAGAACTATTTGTTTGTTTGTTTGTTTATTGGTTCGCATATGTATAGTAATAACAATAAAATGAAAATATTACTGACAATAAAATAAAATGCTGGGGAAAGATGTGAAGCCATAGTGGCTTGTCTGGGATCTTCCCCGACAAAATTAATTAACAACTGAAATAATGCTAACAAATCAAATGATAATAATAAATAACAATAGGTAATTAATAAATTTGATCAATATGATCAAAATGATAATAGTAACAAAACAAATAGTAACATGAATAACAAAAGTGATTGATAAATAACGCTAATTAGAAATGATATGTTAAAAACTATATCTTTAACGTTAACAGAACTTTAACTGCAATACAGACATTGGCAGAATTGAAGCAATAACTCAAGAAAATAAATGAATTTTAAAGAGAAACGGAGATTCAAACTTATACAGATGAAATCAGAGTAATAAGAAATCAAATGTCGGTGGAGAAGAAAAGTAGGTGATTTTTAAGATTTCGTTTAAAGCTAATTATTGATGTTAAACATTTTAGGTGGAGCGGGAGATTATTCCAAGTAGTTATACATTTATATTTTACACTCATTTGGGCTACGGACGTTCTAACTAGGGGGATATGGAAATGGGCACTTTGTCGAGTTTGGTAAGTATGAAAATGGGAATTAAGATTTAGAAGACCATTAAATGTGTCTGGAAGAGAACAAGTAAGGAATTTAAACGTAAATAGCATCAGATGAAGTTTGTTTATGTCAAAAATATTCAAAATATTAAGTTTTGTAAACAAAGGTGCAGAATGTGCGTGGAAACTGGCGCCGGTGGCTGAACGAACAAATCTTTTTTGGAGTAATACTAGGGGCTGTAGTGTGGTTTTGTAGGCGCATCCCCAGACTATATTCCCGTAGGTTAGATATGGGTATATTAAGCTATTGTATATGGTAATAATAGTTTTTTGTGTAAGAAGATGTTTAATTTTTCCAATAATACCGATAGTTTTTGAAATTTTTTTACCTAACATAGTTATATGTGGTTTCCAGGTCAATCGTTCATCAATGATTATACCTAAGAATTTGGCTTGACTCTCTTGAGAAAGGGTCACATTTTTTAAAAAGATTTTGGCGCTTCTATTGTAGGTTTTATTTCTATTACAGAAAATAAGGTAGTATGTCTTCTTAACATTGACTGATAATTTATTTGCCTCAAACCACGATATAACCTTTTTCAATTCTTCGTTAGCCAGGTTCAACAATGAATTAACATATATCCATTTGTAGTACGCTTGAGCTACAATGGGATTTTAACCTTATGAAAGGGCAATGTTTGACATTGTCGCGCATAAAAACGGCGGAAGTTTACCTGGAACCCGTAGAACTGGGTGTTATGCGGCAGGCGGAAGATTTTCCCGTGGTCTCCGCTGTAAACAGTCTTACACTGGCCGCCATATTTGGAGTTGTCCAAGACCCTCCCGCTTATCTCCTCAGTCAGAACGTTGTACCTGCAGTGGAAAGGAACAACAACATTCCCCATTCAAAATGAATGGAAAGAAAGAGAAACAGGACCTGGTTATTAGTGTCAGCACAACATATACTAATCAGTTAATAATTCGCTGAAAGATTCTTCTTTCGTCCATGACCTTGCTGTGTGGTCACAGAACAGTTCCTTTGAACTTGCGAAAGATGCTCCCAACGGTTTCACGCATTTAATCCTATCTAGACCTGGGGGGGGGGGGGGGGGCGAACGCCCGCGCCAACTTTGATGTCGGATAGCGTCTGAACGGCTTCTGCTAGAACCACCAAACTTGGTGACTTTTCCTAAACTGTTGTTGGCAACAATTTTGTATCAGTGGGATAAGATCATGATTTTTAGCGTTGCCATGGTAACGGGTTTACGTAGACGTACCCACTCCCGGCGATATCGATGTTAGGGATGAGGCCTGGGCCGGGGCCCTCCACAGTCTTCCCCTCGCACAGGTTCTGTACATCCGGGCACTTCTGTTCGTCCGACTGGTCCCCGCAATCGTCATCACCGTTACACCGGAAACTGGCGGGAACACAGCGACCTACAGGGGTCAAACATTCTTATGGTTAGGCCATGTTGATTTGATTATATGGATGACATCCTCCGGGAGCCCCAAAACTGATGCGCGCGTGCGAATAAAAAAAAAGTTTTGCAAAAAAAAAAGTTCTTTTCATTATGAAATCTACATGTACGTGGTCATGAGGGTTGAGCAAGTGGCACAGAATATGGTTTGGCGAATAATCTAGTCTTCAAGTTCATTTCTTTACAATTTCGTCTTTTTCGTTTGATTTTGGCATTCTACGACATTGGTATAGTTTTTATTAATTTTTTGTAACTTATGGTATATTTTTGCTCATTTTGCAACTGTTTTGTACGATTTACAGTATGGTTGTAAAACTTTTTTTTTGGAAACGGTCCGTAAAATTCATGCGCGCGCGGATGTCATCCATATAATCAAAACAACATGGCCTAACTCGTGTGGAGAGTAGAAGTGTTGATGATATTATGGAGAGTGAATGCCTTGCACAGCTGCTACTTCGTCCACATTCCAAGTGGGACTTCTCCCACATAGGACACGTACTGT